AGATAGTCAGTTTCAAACAGTAAACGGTGTTATAAAGTAAAAGTGACTATCTCATGGTCCAGTCTTATGCAAACTCTTTGCACGGGACACCCTCACTCGCATGTCTTCACATGAACGAATTAGGATCACATCGTTTGTACTAGCTACAAAGTGGGCCGCATCCATAGTGTCCCCAGAATAAGGCGTCCAACTTTCTTCCTATACTATAGACCATTTAGACTGTTAACTCAAACTTGGTCTATATTTATGTCTCTTACATAGAGTTTGAGTCTCAGGTAACAGTCTAGGATCCTTTATTTTATTGGATTTAGATCTAGTAAGAACATTTTATTGGATCAATAACTACTTATTGATTAAAACCTTCAATAACAACTTTATTGAAAGATAGAAGTATATCTGGCATTTTCAAACTCTGAGTTTCAGGACATAAAACCCAACAGAATGAATGTTATTTTCTTGTTTTAAAGTACAGTTTAGCTATTTCTATATATGGGTATAAATTATGTTCATGTTTTTTCGTTATTATAAAATATAATCTACTTGTACATTGAAATCTACTATTAACATTATGTATAAATGCATTTTAAGTAAAATATAATTTATACCAAGATGGAATTATATTCATGAAATTCTATAAGACATGGTATTAAGTATAACATATTGAATATACATATTAGGTATAACATAGACTAAACTTTCTGAGGTATAAAATTTTTCCAGATGTATTGATTTACATCAGAAAACCAAGATGTATATCATTAACGGTATATATCCACCAGATTCTTAATTTTAAATCACCATCAGTATATATCCAGTTACATAAAACTTGAGATATAATATATATCCTACTCTAAACACTATACTATATATCCCCACATATACATTATTTAAAACAAACGAAATCAGAAATATATACTAGCCAACTAATCTTTGGCGGCAGCAAGAATAGATTCATATATTTTTTTTCAAAATAAACAAAAAATAAAAACTACCGGATAATCCAAAATGAAGGAATGAAATGCTCATGCAATCGGAGGTTTCAGAGGAAATTGGAGTCGTCGGAGTCGAAATGAAATGCTTGAGATGAAATGTTCTGCGACAAAGAAAATTGGAGCCGCCGGAGACAAAGGAAGACAGCGACGATGTCGGAGAAGATGAACGGAGGTTTCAGAGGAAGAAGAATCCCAAGAGTCGGAGGAATGAAAGAAAATCGAGGGAGAAGAACGGAGGTTACAGAAATTTGGGGGTTATGGGATTTTTCAGTTTTGGAAAGTGTAATTAGCACAATTTGAGGGATTTTCTCCCAATTTACCAAATTTATATTTTAATAATGATTTAATATTGAGAAGGATCTTATGGATATATTAGTAAATGGGTACCATCTAATTAGGGATTTTTTTTATGACAAAAGTGTAAATTATATACTTTTCCATCCTTTTACGTAATTAGGATTCCTAAATAGACTATCTATATACTAATCCTTTTTTAAATCAAAAAGTTCAATACTATAATCTTATATTATTTGGTTAATTATATATTTTTTATCTAAAATTTTTTAGGGTTATCCCTTTAGAGTGTATTTGGGAGTGATTTTGACATGACAAAATCTCTTTTGTCATTGCCAAAATCACTTCCATTTCAATTGATCATGTTTGGCAAATTAAAAAATTGATTTTTAAAAAACATAAAATCACTTAAAATTTATTTTTTAAGGTATCTATTAGATATCCAATATATGAATTAAATTTACCCAATCCATCTAAGCTTTTGGGTTGGGTGGTAGTTTATTCATCCATAACATGGTAAGATCTGTGTTCGAACCGCTACATTATTGTTTCCTCCCCATTTATTATAATTTCCACTTGCAACAGTATCACCAATAAATAAGAAATTTGGGTATTGATCGATAACAGTATCACAAATCTGCATTTCGAGCGTTTGAGACCCGACGATTTCATAATTATCTCTCAAGTCTAGCCGTTCAAATTGAAGATATCCTAAGGAGAGAAGGATTCATCTATAAAGAGGAAAAAAATGCTTCATAATAAAGGTACACAGAAAAATCCTACTTTTATTAGCAATTTTAACTTAAGCATTAGGGCATCTGATGCTAGTACCAGACCGGTGTACTATTCCTTCTTGTTTCACAGGTTATGTCGATTCCCTTTTATACGAATATGGTAATTCTTCCAAACCATATTTACACATCAACAACAGCAACATTTTAGATGTACGAAGATAGCAAAAAAGTATAAATCAATCCAAACTCACATAAGACTAAAATCTAAATGTAATTTATTCTCAACAAAATCTGTCTAAATAGTGATCGTACTAGTTCAAATAAAAGTCATTTTAAACTCACTTTTGAAACAAACGTAATTTTATGCCCTTTTTCTTAAAACAATTTTGAACCATTGAGAACTCTTGTAATCTATCGATTCATCTCTCATTTTGAGCCATCATAGATCTTTTATGATTGAGCTTTTGGACCAAGATGGAAAAAAATGGACCTTTCTTTTCTTTAAGATGGTAACCTCCCAACTCAATCAACAAATTTCATTTACTTATATAAATGTCAACATATTGAAACATCTCCGGTATGTTCTAATTCAATACCAATTTTAGATTGTCAACCCCAAATCATAAAGGACAAACTTGAATCAAGGAATAATAATATTATAGATGTAGCTATTGAATCGCCCATTACAAATAGAATTCAAAACAAAGTGCAAGTAGCAAGAAATTGGTAGTGCTGAGATCAAGGAACCAGTTATTTGCAATTGAAATTAAATTAGGTCTCCCATCCACAAAATATGAAAGGAACAAGTATGATGCAGTTCACGTATTGTTTCAACGCATGTGATCCACTCTTTATAGGCCCAACTTTGGTCGTTGCATTTAGAAATTGAACTCTCTTTATTTTTTCTTATTCCTTTGTTTTGGAAACATTACTTTCAAACATAATAATTTATTTTCCTTAATCGATGAGCGAGAGATGCATTCCTCTTTTTAAATTGTCTATTATGTTTTTATGCTCGGGATATCTCGAATAGATGACCACTAATAGAACAAGAGTCGAGGACTTTTTTCTACAAAGAGAAGGGTGATTATTGTAACTCCTAGACCAAAATAGTAAAAATAAAGGCTCTTTTTTTTCGACGGTGACAAATAAAGGCTAATTGAGAATACATTCAGATCACTAATTCATTAAACTCCAATGAATTTATTAGAATGAATAACATACACCCGTTTTAATTTGTCTTCAAAGTAACTCTAAATCAAAAAGCAGTAATATTATCTTAGACCCTTTACTTTGAGAAGGATTCATTGAATTGCTTAAATCTAAAAGAATGTCACTCTTAAAAGAGCGATTCCTTATAAATCATATACATATGTATGTTGACTTTCTTGTATACTCAAGGATGATATTCAAATCAGCGAGGATTGGATTGAGTTAGAAATTTTTCAGTTTGAGTTGAGTTAATTTTTTACCAAATTAAAAGTCAATTTGATTCACGAGTTAGAAAAAACCCCTACATATAATAGTAAACAAAATGCCTTTAAGGATCTTTCTCCACTTGCTCCATCCCCCTTTCTCTCTGTTCTCATGTGGATGCTCCAGTTTTTTATCCTTGAACCGAGGAGGAAAAAGATTGTGATTGATTTTAGAAAAAATGGCAGAACTCAACCAACCCTTTCCTGCTTGCCTTCAGACCCAACCATTCCAACTAAAAAATATAAAGGATTGGAAACCTCATTCGGATTCAACCCAAGGAATGGTTCAAAGCTTGCCCACACCCGATAACCTGAAGACCCAACTAAAAAATATATGGGCTGCATTAGGTTGGACACTTCATACAGATTTTTCGAAACCCAAATTTTCAAATTAGTTCAAAATATTTCCAATGTTAGCCTCTAATTTGCCAAGTAAATGCACAAAATCTCAATGTTGGTCAACAAACATGAAGCTTTATACTTCATAGTATTGAAATCAAAAGCAATAACGAGTTTGTAACATAGTGAACAAAATTTGGAGACTTGATAGTTCAAGAATGCTCGATGGAAGCCACAAGTTATAAATCACGAGTCAGCAACCAACCCAAATAACCTTTGAGACCAATCCACTGTAAAATAATCAACCAATAAAGAAAACCTAGATGACGTCTACCTATCTATTTTTTTTGCCTTCAGATCATCAAGTAATAAGGTAGTGAAAAGAAAAAAAAAAGTCAATAAGAACTAGAATAACACAAGTACATAGGATTTGTAAACGAGAAAACCACTTGATAAGAACTGCAACCACATCGCTTAACACATGAAAATGCTCAAGACAAATGGTTGTAAAATTCTGTTCAACTACTTGAGAGTGAAACATCCACTAAACGCCAAAAATTACTCAGTTCCGAAAACAGTAAATGCTTCTATCTTAGCTCACAAAATATAATAAAAATAAAAGTCCCTTCCAGTAGTTACATCTAGGTTCTCCATCGCTGCAAAAACACATTAAGCACGTATTAGGAAATAACAAATAAACAGATGCTCAGCACCATTAAACAAGAAATAGGAAAATATAAAACTAGCTTTTCCCGGTATGGTTCACAGGTGAGATACAGTGAACGGTAAACTTCAACACCATTCACTTCACTTTACGCACATGTACATATGAAAAAAACAAATAGAATTCAGAAAAGAGCCATGAAAACAGGCACAAAATGCTTCAGAAGAGAAAATGATACAATGAAAATTCAAACCTCATGCATGATGCTCATATCAATTAATTACAAATCAGGATAACACAATGCAGGCATTATTTCCACTATTTTCAATTCGCCCACAGAATCTTGAAGCAAAAGCAGACAATTAATTAAATCTAACATTATCATTATACAACAAAAAAAACAAGGAATCAGAGGTGTATTTAGCCCCTAATTTAAGCCAGGTCTAATAAATAAGTAGATCTTTCGACAAACAGGGGCAACTACAACAAAAATAATTAAATAAAGTGATGAGCACATTTACATTAATATACCATGTACAAAATCAAATAGGTAAAACTTATCATCCCAAAATTCAATCATTGCCCATGSCAATACAAAAACAAATAATTACAGATAACAACCTAGCGACCGTGGAAACAAAATATTTTAGGATTGATTGACAAAAAATAACCATTTATCACTATACGGATACCATGCCCCAAACGAGCTGTCAATTCATATAAATCCTAATTCCAAACACCATTCAACAAAATGAATACAACTCCACAAAACTGTCTTCCCGTTTCTTAAATACCCAATCGTCCGTCCTTCAACCTTTATATACCGAGTTACAAATACACCTCGCCAAACAACATTTTGTAGTTAGAAAAAAGATACACCATAAAGATGACAGCAAAAAGTTATGAACTTGATTAATACTTGGATAATCGGAGGGTCTACTTCATTGAAAATCCTATTATTATAATCCAAACATGTCTTCCAAAAAAGCACAGAAAGGGAAGCTTGTAATTGAGATTTTAGCTATATCATATTAACATCGCAAAACATATACGGATGCAAGGATTTTGGAAAAGCCACAGCCATTCCCACATTAGTGAACAAATAAAGTTGCTAAGTGCAAACACGTGACTTCAACACCAAAGACAGACTATAATCAGAAGCATCAAAACATACAAAAGATAAAGAGAAAGTTACCTCAAATGTTGCTGGGGTACATGAATACCCTGACCCTGTCACCCTGCATAGAGGTTTAAAAATATTGTTAATAAACAATATAGAGAGGTCTCCAACACATTAGACAGCTTTATTTTTCACCATACCATGGACTTTGGTGGCAGATTAGACTTGAACTTCGCTCTAACAATGCCACTGTTACCATGAGGCCTAGCGACCTTGCCCCAAATGCAACGATAATGTGTCCCATTCTTCTTCACTTTAGCCTTGTAGATATAAGCCAATCGCTTTCCTTGGTACCAGGAAACCTCGTCCTTGGAATTAACACCCTCGATCTGGAGTAATGAAGTGTTCGGGTACTGATTGGATTTAGACCTAGACAAATGACAACCACCAAGAAAATAATATAACGCAGTCCAGAAACATAAAAACTCAAATGTTAATGTTACTTCGTCGGTTTTACATGGGGTAAGAAAATGTGAAGGAGGGAGTTGATAGACAGTGATTAGTTACCTCTTGTAGCCGAGAACTGTTCCGCGGATGTAGAGTCTAATTCCAACGTGAAAGAGAAGTGAAAGAACAACAAAAACAAATTAGTTGAAGAACGACACAAGAATAACTTGAAAATTTGATCTTCTAAAGGCGCTTATATTACAGACCTGACTCTCTCTCCTTCCCTTCCTTTCACCATCTTCGGCGGCGTCTGCTTCTCCTTCTGCTACAGAGTTTCGGCGGCGTCTGCTTCGTATCACTCTCCTCCTAAACCTAATTCTCAGCATTTATAGACCCGCCCACAAACGAGCCGGATTTATATACTTGGGCTGTATTTTTCTGCCTCGGCCCTATCGTTGGCGGGCCAATCAACCCAACGTTTCATCTTGGAGATCTCTAATTACCAGACAACCATTTATTTCTAAATCCAAAAGTTCAATAATATAATATTATATTATTTGGTTAATTATAATTTTTTTATCTAAAATTTTTTAGGGTTATCCATTTAGAATGTATTTGAGAATGATTTTGACATGACAAAATCATTTTGTCATTATCAAAATTTAAAAAATTGATTTTAGGATTACATAAATCACTTAAAATTTACTTGTCATTTGTAAGGTATCATTTGGGTTGTGATTTTGGAAAATCAATTATTCTTAAATATTTTTTTTCAAAATCACTCTGCCCACCATAGTCTTCAAACTTTAAAAATTAAATTTTTAATTAATATGTTTAGTTAGTTTATTGTTTAAAGTTTTTTTAATAAAGAAAAATTATCTAAATTTAAATGAAAATTTAATTTTTTTTAACTATATATCCAAATTTTTTATGTTATATTTATTATGTATTTTAAAGTCAATAATGATAAAATAAGATTTTTATTTATACTTTTGAAAAACTATAAATAGAAACAATAAATAAGAAATTTGGGTATTGATAATTAACAATTTTGTTTTTTGTTTTCTATTTTCAAAAGTCAAGGTTATAAATACTACCTTCACCTATATACTCATTTGTTTTGCTATCTACTTTTTTTTAGAAACTTTTTTTTTTTTTGAAATCTAAACCAAAATTAAAAGATAAAAAAAAAGTTTTCAAAAACTTGTTTTTATTTCTAATTCAAATGTGTTATTAAGAAACGTAAAAACATGCCAAACAAATTGTGAGTAAACATGCATAATTTTATAAAATAAAAAACTAAAAAGGAAATCGTTTTTTGCTTTAATTTTCTTGTTTCTAAAATTTCTACACAATTTTGGAAATGTTACAAACAATAAACAAAAATAGTTAACGAATGCTTATATGTTTAAAAATTGAAAACAATAAATAATAAATAGGGAATGTTATCAAATGAGCCTTCCGATACTCCATTCTAGTCTCTAAAACCTTGAAAAAAAATATTATAGTTCTTAAATTAAAAGAATGAATATATTAATACGTACATTTTCAAAATATTTATTTTAGTCTTTAAACCATTAAAAAAATTAACCATTTTATAAATTTGGTCACCTAACATCTCTATCTTCACTACCTACCTTAGATGGATGAAACTATTTAGAATCTTTTTTTAAAACATGTTCTAAAAATCTTTTCAAAATTCAAAAACAAATTGACAATGAACGAATTTGAGAAATCAATATCAAAATTTGTTTAAAGCAAATGGAATAAAATAGGATTTAAACCTAATTCATAGTTAAATCTAAGAACTTGCAATGTTTTTAAGATTTTTAAATACTAATGAAAAAAGTATTATTTTTGTATTATTATGCTTAATCCAAACTATATTTTATTATCAAAATAAATAATAATAATAAAGGAAAAGGCAAGTAATCCATAACTCGTGAATATAAAATATATTACATTCATGTGGTCACCCAACTTGATATTACATAACTCAAGCATGTTTAACTACAAAGTCTTAACTATATCTAACGTCTAATATCACCGCAACCAGACATTGGCGGTGTCAAAAATCCCATCAAAATCAAAATGAGCCAACAAATGAAGCTGAAATTTTATTTTCAATACTCCACCCTTTTATCATCACAAAGTTAAAAAAGAGGGGAGCAAAGTGTAATGTAAGCTAGGCCATACTATACTATTATTACCTGGCAAAAAAGCTCACAAGACTAAGAAGAGAGAGCAGCATATCCATGAAGAAAACTGAGAGATTTCAGAAGCTGAAAAAGAAAAAAATGGAACTTGATCAAAGATCAGCAAATAAATTGTAGGTTTTGGAGTCTACTGCTATGAGCCTTAAAGCTGAAACTGCTGCTGCCAAAGACATTCAGCCAAAGAAACAAACATTAGCCCAATGCCATAGCTGCTGGGAAGAACTGAGTTTGCTCCTCTTTGCCACAAGGTACATATGGTTTGCTAGGATAAATGTTAGAGGGAATGTGCTGACTGCTCCTGTAAGGCTCATGAAGTCCCCAAGGAAAGGCAGCATAGCTGAGACCAGTGTGGTTATGGCCAGGTACCCTCCTCTCACACCTATTCTGAAAGACAGGTTTTTTATGTTCAGCGCCCTTCCTTTGATCCCGAACCTCGTGTCCAAATACTCGTACATCGGGCTTGCAAATATCTGAATGCGAATCGATGAAGACAGTTTAGTTAAATGAAACAAGGTGATAAGAGTAGTGAAGAGTGAAGATTGAAGACAATTACGTGCAGGGCGATGACTGTTTGAAGGAATGTGGATATGTTTGCCATTGCCTTCACCCAAACTGGTCCGGATACGCTGTTGAGTAAATAAGTTGAGGTGGAAGATCTGTATGCCCAGTATCCGGCGAAAGTAACAGCATACATGGGCAAAACTCCAGCGGTGAACTGGAAGTACAGAGCCTTTAGCATGTTCTTGACGACGGGCTGCCTCACGGTCGCCTGTAACAACAAATTTTTTTTTGCAATGGAGGTCCGAAAGAGAGAAATTTGAAAGTATATATGCGTAAGTATAAACATAGATGGAATTCAAGTTACAAGACAGATATGAAGAAAGCAATTTGGGAGCTTACCTATATTCGTTCTACTAGGCCTATCAAGAATGAATTAGTATATACTATACAGCTTAGCAGAGGGCAAAAGGGGATACAAATTTTAAATCTTGGGTTTAGTTAAATTTATTTGAACCTCGCAATATGGCGTTGAACTGATGAATGCACCAAGTTTACAGGCTCAAATTCTGGTTACAATCATACTCACTGAGCAACAGAAGGGTAATCTAGAAAACAAGGGATGTAAGTAGGTCATACCTGAATCTCTGGAAGCATTCCAATATTGAAGGCAAAAACCAGATTAGCAGATGCTCTTATCGTCGTAAAGATTTTGCTAGTCGCCGTTCCTGGAATACTATAATTCCTGGCAGGTGCTTTGACCCCTAAAAGAGCAGAAATCATCCATGAGAATTTTAAACCAAGGAATCTTTACTTCCAGTACTTGAAAGTTATACCAGAAGACACATTATCATTGTGTAAGTTCAAAATCAATTTCATTGAAAATACTTCAATTGAATAAAACTCGGAATGAAAAAGAATTTCATGAGTTTTATTGTTTAGAAGCTTTTATTCAAATATTTTAGCAAGAAACTTTTAGGTTTTGCCCTAAATAGCTTAAACCTCTCATAGAGAAGGATTTTTTCCTTGCCTAGGAGAAAAGGTCCTCTAAGAGAGAGAGAGAATGTGAGGAAAAGCACAAAGAACATGATGAAGTGAGGAGAAGATATGGATGAGAGAAACAAGAAAGTAATTTAACTAGAGGTGGGGAATTTTTTTACAGAGAATGAAATATCTCATGGAAATCGAATTTCTTAATCCAAATAATATTACTCATTGAGAAATGAAGTTTAACTTCAGTTTCTTAGGTTTGAAATGGATACATTGAACTTTGCAACAAGCCAATTGCCAAGATTGGCACGACATCAGACAATGGAAACTTACCATCTTGAATTGACAGAACAAATGCAACAACAATGTATACCAAGCTGAAGATAGTTGAGAATCCTAGCCAAAATCTTAGAGCTGATAAATGYGGTATTGATATTGCAAACAAGGCACAGGCAAAACCAGCAATGGCAATTAAATAGGGAAGCTTCATCACATGGTCATCCTTGAAAAGGACATAAACAGCCTGCAGCATGGACAAGGAATCTCATGGGTTACARTAGAATAAGAGTTCGACATTTAACAAACTATTAGTTCCACTTTCATTGCTTCTCTAATAAGAGGACACAATATACAGACAAAATCGATTGTTGTGATCTTCAAGCAAACTTGGTTTTGACAAAAGTGACCCATTTTGKTTGTTAATCAGAACAACTGATTTTTTTGTTTTCGTGCGTTACTTTCTTTCTTTAATTGTCAGCAAAATGGTTTTTAAATGGAGTTATAACAGTTCCATAAAAATTAAACGCTCCTACACTTACCAAACTTTTCTCTAGGTATTGTCCTTCTTTTCCTTTTCTCTTCAATTTTAGGTACTATAGTGGACATCTAGGTACATTTCAACACGTGACTGAGAAAAGATGAACCATCTTCGAACCCGTGTTAAACAAAGGAAAAAAAAAGGGGAAGTTAAATCTCTCTCGATAAACCAAAATAGGCCCTGATTTTCTTAATCCCTTTTCCTCTAAAATTTTGGTCCATCACAGCAACAAGATTATTGACATTTCCTTATATATATTGGCACTGTTATTACTTATTAGACTAGAATTCAATTGGTCAAAAGTCTGGGTCTAACTTAATACATGTCGGCACCAAGACTTTTTCATAGGAAACAAACAAATATTAAGTTATAATATTGAGGAGGAGATAAGTGTGTTCTGAGAGTAAAAGTGTCAAAAACAATTTTCTCGACTTTCATGCAGTCAAATTAAAGGAAAGATGTTAAACATGGAGCACAGGAAGAATCATGGTCAAAGCAAGGTTACTGACCCCAATACTTTGYTCATACTATTCGAGCTATTTGACTAGTTCATTAGATTACAATGAATGATCAATTTCATTAGTTTAAAAGCATGATCAGTGTACTTCTTTTGATCTCACCTTCAGGCCTGGCCGGCTAAGATAATGTATCCCACATTAATCATGAAAAGATTGACATACTGTAATCCCCATGTAAGAGAATAAGCTTTTCTACCTGCAAGAAGAAAGCCATCAGGAAGAAATAAAGAAAAWTCAGCCAAAATATTCACCCCCTTAGTTTGGATCTCTTCTCATACCGTATACAAAGCCTGCAAGATCTCTGTATCTGATATGTCTCTTCCCACCCAATTCATGGAGCTTGGCAATAAGAGTGTTTGCATATAATGAAATGGCCGTGGCTGCAATTAATCCGACGACACCAGATATCCAACCAAGAGGAACCATTATAGTTCCCGAGTATCCCAGTACATAAGCACTGTTGATACCGGTGGTGAGGACAAACCCCACTTGAAACCATGAATCTAAGTATTGCAAAAACAAAAACAAAAAAATCGAGTTAGCTTAAAGAAGAAAGATGGGGTTCTTTTATTTTATTAATTGATTGAGAGGGCGGCAACCCACAATCAAAAGCAAACGAATAAAAAATTGAACAGTATCCTCTTGGAAATGAACATGAACTTCATTTGTTTACTTGATTCGAGGAGGAAAGAAGAGAATCACATCCCAACATTTGGTGATTAATCATTGCCATGCTCTAATTTCACAAAAGTAAAAGGAGAAAAAAGGTGTCCTAAAGCAAACTATTCAGAAATACACAACAAAAAGCAGCCAATCGAATCAGGTTTCAGAAAAAAGAGAGAGACCCACATCAGAAAAGTAAAAAGGAAGAACAACGGACCACTGCTAATCTGATGGGCAGTTTCGGGGACCTCCAATTTCTCCACATCGGCGTCATTGATCGATGCCATAGGTGGGTTTCGTTTCTCCGCCGTGGGCCGTTCAGTCAAGAGCGAGTCCCGCTCTTCAAATACGCAAATCAGAGCCAGGAGATCACCCTTCTGGTTCGCCTCTGCTGCACTTTCTTGTTCGACCAAAGGACAAAATCTGCACACTACCAGTACCAGTATTTATGATTCTTCCATTTCCAGCAATCTAAATTGAACACATCTTCGCTGGAAAAACGAACAAAAAGAGAGAATACAGAGAGAAAGAAAGAGAGAAAGAGCTTACAAATAACTCAGTTCCTCTCAGCTTGCTTCGCCTCTGTTTTTTCTCCACCTCACAATTCAATTCGAACAGCAACTTGGCGCTGGCGGGTTTGATATGTGAAGACGCAACAAATTCGTTGCGYAACACAAGAACGAAGAATCTCTCTCTCTTTCTCTGACCATATAATTTCTCCGTGTGGAAATTGAAATTGAAACTGAAATTGAAGGGGCAGGGGCACACCTTTCAAATCTTCAACCTTCCTTTTAATGAGAGCCATTTCCCATTTTCATTGAAAAGATATTCTATATTTTTCTTTTGCTCTCTGTTTCTCTACACCTTACAATTATTTAATATGTTTTGTTTGACATTTTATGCATAAATTACATATTCTTCTTAAAATATTGGTGATATTTAAGCAAATGGTGGGTCAAAGGCATATAAAATATTTGAAAAAATTATGATGATAATGATAATAATAATAATAAAGTTTTTTTTTTTGGTATTGATTGATTTTTTTATTTTGAATATTTTTTTTGGATGACTTTCAAATAAATTTTAAAGGATATTCCAAAGTGCGAAATATAAATGTCGATGGAAGTATTGAAGTTCCAATTTTACGAATACAGATATTTTAAAAAAAATCACGAAAATTATAGATATTGATACAAAGTCTTTTTAATTGTCGTTAGTTAGCCCTAAATGTATAAATAATATAATTATGGAAACGTCGTTCAATATAATCTTGTTTAATTGTTTATGTTGCTTTTATTATATATTAATAAAAAAAATCAAGAAAATGTTGGTTTCGTGGGCCCCAATGGAGAATTCTGTGGCCTCTCTCAATTTTTTAAATTTTAAATTTTAAATTTTAGTTTTTAAATATTAATTTATTCTACTTTATTTGAACTGGATTACGGTATTGATTCGTATCTTTCAAACTCTGGCTGATTCGGTCATGTGTCCTATCGAACGGCTAAGAAGATCCCACTAGTGTTTCAGTTTCTTCGTTAAATATATAATTTTTTGTCTTTTAAGTTTTAACCACTATATTATTTTTTTAATTTTAATTTTGTTATTTTAGCAATTTAATTTTTTTCAATTAAATTCCTGCTGTTTTATTAATGGTTAAATTTCATAGAAGTGTGAAGACATGTCAATTAAATATAGTTTCTTAATTAAATTATAAATAATTAAATATGTCATTGAGAGGTGCGAAGATAAAGTAAGAGTTGGGTGATAACATAATTCAACTGATAAATACTATCTCTTGAGAGGTTGAAGATTTCAAATCCTCCCTCAAAAAGAAAAATCATTTGTAAAAATTAAGGAGCTTTGTAATTATTCTTTTTCTATTCGTTTATCATTTTTAAGAAATATTTTCAAAATTGTATAAAAATTTTGCAAGCAACCAAACAAATATTTTGTTTTGTTCGTGTTTCACGTTCTTTCTAAAATATAAATAAATAATATTATTTTATCAATATTGATTTCTAAAATATATATAAGACAACAAATTTGAATATTAATTCCAAATGATACATTTGTAATATATCTAACTATTGATATATTTATTTGATATGCATCTCATCTCATATGTTACTGATATGAGTGTCTGATATACTTGCAATATATATATCATATACTACTGATATGAGTATTTGTTCAACATGTATGTGATATATATTTAATATACCATTAATATGAGTGTCTGATGCATTATTAATTAACATAATTATTTTTTTTCTAGATTTGAAATTTTAAAAAGCCAGTGCATATTTGTTAAACAAATAAAAGATTTTCGCTATACGTGCAATTTTTCCCATTTTTATGCCATCTTCTACTCGTAGTGAAAAAATGGTTGAAATTTTTTAACACATTGAAGAAAAATTGAAAATCTGAAAATAAAAAATAAAAAATAAAAAACGAAACTAAAAAACGACACGTACATNATTATATTATAAATTCTAATCTATCCAATAATATATATTCTTTTTAATTATTTGGTCATGGGACTGGGAGGTTGATAAGGCGTTCCTTTCGGGATGGTCAGATGCCAAAAATGTCATAGTCAGAAGTGATGGGTCCCACTTGGTAATTGGGAAATCTGATCTCCGAACTATATTTGGATAACTGTCGTTTAAACTATATTTTGGTTACTTTTAAAACATCCACATCAATTCTTAAATATTGAAAAATAACTATTTAATTTTATACTTTTAAAATATAACTATTTATTTTTATTAGGAAAAACGAAATCTATTTTTACTTGTATCAAATTTCATTCTAAACTCTAAATTAAATAAAATTTAACTTTATAATTCGGTAAATATTGTGATTTTTACTATTTATTCAATTTACCACCTAAATTAATCCACTAATTTTACCAATAATTAATTTAAATGAAATCAAATTTGGTAAAAAATTAACTTGGATCAATACAAGAAATCAATCATTGAATAATTATACTAAGAGAGCTCTAATTATGCCCACATATGTTTTATAATTCATTAAATGCACTTGATAATACATTTTCTAACAATTCTTCAAACAAAAATTTATTAGTCAATTTGAGAACAATTCTAGTTCCAAAATACTATAGTTCAATTTCCTCGTTGAACGAACAAAAATTCGAAAACATAAAAGTTATTTTTTGAGGTAAAAGCATATTTGAAGTGATTATTAATTTGTTTAACAAATTTACTATTCAAATTAAAAGAAAATGTTGACTTTTGTTTTCTTCTCTGAACCAACCAATTATGAAGTTTCAAGACTTTTCTTAACTAATAAAAGTATCCTTTTCCCCAAAATCAGTGAGAACACAAAATTCTATAAATGTAACCCAAGACGATTTTTCCCTTGTACAAAAGTCAACGTTCAAATTCAAATTCAAGTTGGACAAATACAACTTTTTCTAATTAAAAAAAAAAACAAAATCATCAAAAATTATAATGGTATGAATAAATTGTAATTTATAATAATTTTATTCTTTTTATTGTTCCTATTTTATCCTTTACTTAATGTATTCTTTACCTTTTTTTAAATGGCTTAACTTGGATGAATATTTTAATTTTTTTAATAAGTCGTTAATAATTATGATAACCTTATTTTTTTAATTATTTTATTTTAGGAGATTAAATGACTATATATTTCTTTTATTTTTTAGGAGAGAAAAGTTTGGTTTGACTATATTTAATATGAAAGAGTGGGGTAAGATTATGGAAGATCTTCACTTTAGTAAATTTCAACTTTAAATTTTTTTATCAATGATGAAAAGATAAGGCATGCGTATCACTTTGATGAGTACAAAACACTTTTTCGTGGATATTGGATTATTACTAAGTTTGAAGAATCTATCGAAACAAGATAGTGTTGAAGAGGACGAAGATGTTATAATTTCTATATTTACCAATAATATATAATATTGGAAAAATCATGTAAATTAGATAAGTATTTGCAAGAATCATGCCAAAGTTGGGTTGAYGATGGTTTTGAGGATTTTGACACATGTTAGAGTTGTGGAAACGAGTGATGGCTAATGATGTTTGGTTTGTAAGGTGATTGCAAACAAAGTCCCACGTTCATCAGGGAAGGAAATGATCATGGGTATATAAGATATGACAATTATCTCTATTGGTAGGAGGTCTTTTGGGTGAAACCAAAAGCGAAGCGTAAGAGCTATGTCCAAAGTGGACAATATATCATACCAATGTAGAGATATACTCGGGGTACTTGGGGTATCGTTGTCCTTAACAAGTGGTATTAGAGCCATGGTCTAAACCTAGCTATGTCGGTGAATTATCCTCAGGTGCCGAACAAAGAAGTGGTGAGCCGCAGAAGATGTAGTTATGGTGTAATCTACGGATGTGCTCTATGAGGTATGACGGAAGCCTTGGATAAGAGCAAAACTCTCGTTCTGACCCTCAAATGTAGACGGATGAATGACTACTTTAGAGGAAGTCGGTTGTACTTTGTTCGAGAGAATGATTGTTGAATAACCAACTTCAAAGAGAGAGAAGTAGATGAATTATGTTTTAATAGTTAACTCAAAGTCTGATTTGAGGTATTAATATAACACGAGTAGAGTATTGGATTAATGTCATAAACATTTTATGTTATTAAATAATTAAAATTAGGTTTGAATACTATTTTGCGTTTCTACTTTCTGACTTTTGTTCATTTTGGTAATTGCAGTTTCAAAATGTTGGTCAATGTACTTTTAATTTTTGTTCATTTTAGTACATGTACTTTCAAAACGTTCTTTTTGATCTCTACACTTTGAAAAAGTTACTATTTTGGTTCATTCATTTTCATTTTCGCCTCATTTCTTTCAATCATAATTTAGCATGACACTTCACTCACTAAATCTATTTATTGAAATGTGACCATAAATTCGTATTAATGATTCTTATTGTGTATAAAATTTGTGTTAAAATTTTGCAAATTGGGATCAAATTAGTCATTTTTTAAAAGTATGGGGACGACCAAAACTAACGACTTTAAATTACAATAATTAAAATAAACTAAAGTTGAGAGTACATTGAACAAAATAAATATCTTTAAATTACAAAGATTAAAATGAACCAAAACCAAAAGTACAGAGACCAAAATATTATTTAAGATTTGAAATTAATTCCCATTTCTTTGCAAAAGTATATCCCCTTATCATCTAATTGCACGCGGTTTAGAAATTTTGGAAGATAATATTTTTGAGGTGAAGCGTTACATTTTGAATATATATATATATATATAAACTAAGAATTCTTAAAAAAAATTGATAAAAGTAATTACATAATCATTAGGCTATCATTACATAGTAAATAAATAAAAGTTAGGAAATCCTTTTTAATACGGTTATTTTAGATTAAGTAATTATTTAATATAATTATTGATTTTCTTCATAATTGAAAGGCATGGTTTTTTTCTAGCACAAAAATGTATACAGGTTAAAATTTATAAATAATTAAAAGTGAAACATACGTATACAACTCAAAAATATATTGATATTATATAATAAAGTTTTTTCTTCATCCGTGAAAAAGTAGTTTTTCACTATTAAATCATGTGAATCATAGAGTAGTTATGGAGTAGTTATTGAACAATTGAATGAGGTAATTCTATTTTTTTATTCAATAGATTTCTTGGATTCTCTGTTTAAAAATATATAAAATCTCTAGTTTTTTTTTTATTTTCTTTTTATGAATTTGTTCTTATTTTTATAAAACATATGAAGTTATATTTTAAAATTTTAACGTATATTCACTTATAGTATTTTATCAATAAAGTATGATACGAAACAAATTTTTTCTCTCTATTCTA